ATTTCTGATGGTTTTGGGATGATTTGGGCTGGTTTTGGGGTGATTTTAGGGTGTTTTTCTGGGTTTTTAGGTTGATTTTGGGTGAGTTGGGGTTGATTTCTCTTGTTTTTGGGATGATTTGGGGTGATTTTAGGGTGGTTTTTTTGGGTTTTTAGGTTGATTTTGGGTGGTTTTAAGTTGATTTCTCTTATTTTTGGGATGAGTTGAGGTGGGTTTGTGGTGATTTTTTGGGGTTTTCGGGGTGATTCTGGGTGGTTTTGGGGTGATTTCTCTTGTCTTTGGGATGATTTGGGGTGATTTTGGGGTGGTTTTTTGGGGTTTTTAGGTTGATTCTGGGTGGTTTTGGGTTGATTTCAGGTGATTCTGGGTGGTTTTGAGTTGATTTCTCTTGTTTTTGGGATGATTTGGGCTGGTTTTGGGGTGATTTTGGGGTGGTTTTTTTGGTTTTTCGGTTGATTTGGGGCCGTTTTATGGGGGTTTTTTGGGGTTTTTCGGCTTTTCCCTGTACTTTTGGGGTCGTGCCACCCGTGCCACCCCCCCGGTGACGTGCCCTGGGTGTCCCCCTGTGCCCCCAGGAGGTAAATACGTGCCCAGGGCCATCCTGGTGGACCTGGAACCCGGCACCATGGACTCCGTTCGCTCCGGACCCTTCGGCCAAATCTTCCGCCCCGACAACTTCGTCTTCGGTCAGTGCCAACCTTGGGCACCTCGGGGGGCACCTGGGGGGGCCCAAAGGGGGTTTGAGGGTCCCTAAAAGGGGTTTGAGGTCCACAAAGTGGGTTTGAGGTCCCCAAAAAGGGGTTTGAGGTCTCCAAGGAGGGTTTGAGGTCCCAAAAATTATTTGAGGTCCCCAAAATGGGTTTGAGGTCCCTAAAGTGGGTTTGAGGTTCCCTAAGGGGGTTTGAGGTGCCCAAAGGAGGGTTTGGGGTTCCCAAAGGGGGTTTGAGGTCCCCAAAATGGGTTTGAGGTACCTAAAGAGGGTTTGAGGTCTCCAAAAATTATTTGAGGTCCCCAAAGAGGATTTGAGGTCCCCAAAGTGGGTTTGAGGTTCCTAAAGAGGGTTTGAGGTCCCCAAAATGGGTTTGAGGTCCCCAAAAGGGGTTTGAGGTACCCAAGGGGGGTTTGAGGTTCCTAAAGTGAGTTTGAGATCCCCAAAGAGGGTTTGAGGTCCCCAGAGTTGGTTTGGGGTCCCCAAAGAGGGTTTGAGGTTCCCAAAGAGGGTTTGAGGTCCCAAAGAGGGTTTGGGGTCTCCAAAAATTATTTGAGGTCCCCAAAATGCGTTTGAGGTTCCTAAAATGGGTTTGAGGTTCCCAAAGGGGGTTTGAGGTCCCTAAAATGGGTTTGAGGTCCCCAAAATGGGTTTGAGGTCACTAAAGAGGGTTTGAGGTCCCCAGAATGGGTTTGAGGGCCCCAAAGAGGGTTTGAGGTCCCAAAATGGGTTTGAGGGCCCCAAAGAGGGTTTGAGGTCCCCAAAGGAGGTTTGAGGTCCCCAAGGAGGGTTTGAGTTCCCCAGAATGGGTTTGAGGGCCCCAAAGGGGGCTTGAGATCTTCAAAGAGGGTTTGAGGGCCCCAAGGGGAGTTTGAGGTCCCAAAAATAGGTTTGAGGTCCCCAAAGGAGGATTTGAGGTCCCCAAAGGGGGTTTGAGGTCCCCAAGGATGGTTTGAGGTCCCAAAATGGGTTTGAGGTTCCCAAAGAGGGTTTGAGGTCCCCAAAGGGGGGTTTGAGGTCCCTAAAGTTGGTCTGAAGGTCCCAAAGTTGGTTTGAAGATCTCCAAGGTTGGTCTGAAGGTTCCCCAAGGTTGGTTTAAAGATTCCCAAGGTTGGTCTGAAGGTCCCCAAAGGTGGGTTCAGGGTCCCTAAAGTTGGTCTGAAGGTCTCAAGGTTGGTCTCAAGGTCCCCAAGGTTGATCTGAAGGGTCCCAGGGTTGGTCTGAAGGTCCCCAAGGTTGGATTGAAGGTCCCGAAGATTGGTTTGAAGGTTCTCCAATGTTGGTTTAAAGATGTCCAAGGTTGATCTGAAGGTTCCCCAAGGTTGGTTTGAAGGTTCATCAAAGTTGGTTTAAAGATTTCTATGGTTGGTCTGAATGTCACAAAGGTGGGTTCATGGTCCCCAGTGTTGGTCTGAAGGTCCCTAAGGTTGGTTTAAAGATCCCCAAGGTTGGTCTGAAGGTCCCCAAGGTTGGGTTTAAAGATCCCCAGGGTTGGTCTGAAGGTCCCCAAGGTTGGGTTTAAAGATTCCCAAGGTTGGTCTGAAGGTCCCCAAAGTTGGTTTGAAGATCCCCAAAGTAGGTTTGAGGTCCCCAAGGTTGGTCTGAAGGTCCCCAAGGTTGGTTTGAAGGTCCTCAGCCATAGTTCAGATGTTCCCAAAAGTAATTAAATGGTGTCCAAGGTTGGTCTGAAGGTCCCCAAGGTTGGGTTTAAAGATTCCCAAGGTTGGTCTGAAGGTCCCCAAGGTTGGTTTGAAGGTCCCTGAGGTTGATCTGAAGGTCACCAAGGTTGGGTTTAAAGATCCCCAAGGTTGGTCTGAAGGTCCCCGAGGTTGGGCTTAAAGATTCCCAAAGTTGGTCTGAAGGTCCCTGAGGGTCTGAAGGTCCCCAAAGTTGGTCTGAAGGTTCTCAGAGTTGATCTGAAGGTCCCCAAGCTTGGTCTGAAGTTCCCCAAAGTTGGTTTGACGGTCCCCAAGGTTGGTCTGAAGGTCCCCAAGCTTGGTCTGAAGTTCCCCAAAGTTGGTTTGACGGTCCCCAAGGTTGGTCTGAAGGTCCCCAAGATTGGGTTTAAAGATTCCCAAGGTTGGTCTGAAGGTCCCCAAAAGTGGGTTCAGGGTCCCTAAAGTTGGTCTGAAGGTCTCAAGGTTGGGTTTAAAGATCCCCAAGGTTGGTCTGAAGGTCCCCAAGGTTGGTCTGAAGGTCCCCAAGGTTGGTGTGAAGGTCCCCAAGGTTGGTGTGAAGGTTCTCAGGCTTGGTCTGAACATCCCCAAGGTTGGTTTGAAGGTCCCCAAGGTTGGTCTGAAGGTTCTCAGAGTTGGTCTGAAGGTCCCCAAGGTTGGGTTTAAAGATCCCCAAGGTTGGTCTGAAGGTCCCCAAGGTTGGGTTTAAAGATCCCCAAGGTTGGTCTGAAGCTCCCTGAGGTTGCTCTGAAGATCCCCAAAGGCCCTTTTAAGGCGCTTCAAACCCCCCCAACCCACCGTTGACCCCCTCCCCTCCCCCTCCCCAGGCCAAAGCGGCGCCGGCAACAACTGGGCCAAGGGTCACTACACGGAGGGGGCGGAGCTGGTGGACTCGGTGCTGGACGTGGTGCGCAAGGAGGCCGAGAGCTGCGACTGCCTGCAGGGCTTCCAGCTCACCCACTCGCTGGGCGGCGGCACCGGCTCGGGCATGGGCACCCTGCTCATCTCCAAGATCCGCGAGGAGTACCCCGACCGCATCATGAACACCTTCTCGGTGGTGCCGTCGCCCAAGGTGTCGGACACGGTGGTGGAGCCCTACAACGCCACGCTGTCGGTGCACCAGCTGGTGGAGAACACGGACGAGACGTACTGCATCGACAACGAGGCGCTCTACGACATCTGCTTCCGCACCCTCAAGCTCACCACGCCCACCTACGGCGACCTCAACCACCTGGTGTCGGCCACCATGAGCGGCGTCACCACCTGCCTGCGCTTCCCCGGGCAGCTCAACGCCGACCTGCGCAAGCTGGCCGTCAACATGGTGCCCTTCCCGCGCCTCCACTTCTTCATGCCGGGCTTCGCGCCGCTCACCAGCCGGGGCAGCCAACAGTACCGCGCCCTCACCGTGCCCGAGCTCACCCAGCAGGTGTTCGACGCCAAGAACATGATGGCGGCCTGCGACCCCCGCCACGGCCGCTACCTGACGGTGGCCGCCGTCTTCCGCGGCCGCATGTCCATGAAGGAGGTGGACGAGCAGATGCTCAACGTGCAGAACAAGAACAGCTCCTACTTCGTGGAGTGGATCCCCAACAACGTGAAGACGGCCGTGTGCGACATCCCCCCCCGCGGCCTCAAGATGGCCGTCACCTTCATCGGCAACTCCACCGCCATCCAGGAGCTCTTCAAGCGCATCTCGGAGCAGTTCACGGCCATGTTCCGCCGCAAGGCCTTCCTGCACTGGTACACGGGCGAGGGCATGGACGAGATGGAGTTCACCGAGGCCGAGAGCAACATGAACGACCTGGTCTCCGAGTACCAGCAGTACCAGGACGCCACGGCCGAGGAGGAGGAGGATTTCGGCGAGGAGGCCGAAGAGGAGGCCTGAGGAGGGTCGTTGTTGTTGTCGAGCCCCTCGTGTGTCGTCCCGGAGAGCCGAGGGCCGCCGAGCCGCCACGCGGCCCCCGGCATCGCCGGCGTCCCCCAGCGTTGTCGTCATCGTCCTCGGTGGCAGCGGAGAGTCCCCAACCTTCACCATGGACGTTGGAGAGTCGCCAACCTTCATCGTGGTCATTGGAGAGTCCCCACAGTCATTGGAGACTCCCCAACCTTCATCATGATGATCCTCAAGTCCTTG